TCCAGAGCACATAATCTGGTCATTAGCACTCAAACTCGAGGAAAACAGGAGGTTAGTACTGAGTTGGTTCACAATATCACATGCAAGAATCCACTAATAGTGTAAAAGGTTTCAAAATGACTTGATTGGCTGCAGTGCTATTCCAGTCTCACACTAACAAGTCCTCGGCAAAGCAAACTTTGCTTACGGCCTGGGAACTACTATACTTTAACTGTTCCAGAGTCCTAGACACCAAACTACTTTTTCAAGAGCTTTAATACACGTCTTCAAATCCATTTCCATGTCCGTTTCCTTACCAAATGCTACAGAACAGTAGGTAGAAGAGTGTTGGTGAAAGAAAGCACTGGCGGAGAACAACATCCACTTAACGTGGTTAAGCGGTCAGTCAGCATCGAGGAGAGGGTGCGAGAACACCTCCCCACCGGACAGCCAAGACTGCTAGAGTTGGCCGTGAGTGAAAAGCTGGCTAAGTGGTACATTGAGCTGTCGATGTAACTACGCCATCGCCGCATCAATGGGAAGAAGGGCAATGCGTTATTTTTTAGAACAATTGTTATATGTGTGATTAAACAAAACAGGATTTAACATGCACGACTTGAATAGTCGACTTGCTAAAAGGAAGTTATTGTATAGGCTTCGGATTTTTGATAAACGTACAACATTTAAAATCTTGTAGAATTTTTTCGTAGCATTTTGAAGTGGTTTTGGTTTATTTTAATGTGATCTGTGCAGTTAGGCTAAGGAGTGGTGGCAACTTTTCTGTCTGCATTATCAATCAAAGGTCACTTCAAGATGTTCACGCATTTTGTATTCGCATGTTTAAAAGATATATTCAAGTGATGTTTAGATTTGGCATCTTGTTAAATCCACTGCCTACATCAATACAATTGCATCAATTTACTCAGCTGTAAGACATGTAACGCATTTAGTCTGCATTTTGAAATAAGCGCTTACCATCTAACCAGTTAGTTTAGCCTACTACTTTTATTTTGTCAGGCATATATGGCTGTGAAATAGCACCAAACCTCCTTAGTCAAGAGATTATTTTTGTATTTGTGTAAAAGTTGCACTGAAATACAAAGCCGAGTGCCTTTAATTAGGTGCACTGCATGAGTATCAACATTCCGAATCTGTTCAGATTGTAACGGAAGCCTGAAAATGTCATTTTGTTATTGATATTTCTAAATCTTGTTAAAGGCAGTGACCACCATCACTTGTTTGCGTAGATTTTGTGAGCATAGACCCATATTTTATCAGTCAATGCGTTACTACTCAATTCTACAAATAATACTCTGAAAAGACAAATTAAAAAAAGTTATGGTGACTGTGCTCAATTTGCTTTTTTCTATACGTTGATATTAACCTTGCTTTAAGCAAAGCCTGCAGAATTGTTTAAGGTTGATTAAGATTATCAAAACGATAACCATCACTTCAACGCCCATGGGTTTATAAAGGCAGTGACCTTGAGCTGCTCTAAGCCGAAGCTTTGCGTGAATTTGATTTTGCCCTTCTGCGTGTTTGCAAATTCTTAGTCTAGCTTAGGCAGGATGTGGAAGAAAGACAGGGTCGTTTAAAAAACGCGCTTTATTGATGCGATAAATTTGGCTGATTGGTTTGATGGATGGATCGGTAGAGGAATGTAGTGACCTAATCTCATCGGCTTACCACTACCTAAGCAAAAATTACTAGATTTGCTAATTCTAAAGTCGTTTGTTTCTACTTCTGTCTACTGAAGTACGGTGAAGTACGTTGACGCTGATGCGACTTCGGTCTGGCGATTATGCATTAGCCAAATCCCTATACTTTTCAGTCCAAACATCGAGTCAAATTCGAGTAGCAGAATCTGGTTGAAGGTGTGCGAGATCGATTGGTGGATGTGCTTACCCCTTGCTTACCTCCGAACTCACTTTGCTACCAATGGTATCATGACTTGCTAACCCTGGAAGAACGTGTCCATTGATGGGTCATAAAAATGTAGATATTTAAATCACTTTAAATAAACATCGCAGTCGCTCAATGAACGGTCCCTTGAGTAGCTTTAATCGCAGATTGAATTTAAAGCTCTTGAGGTTTGCGAGTTTTACAGATTTCTTCCATTTCTCTTCCGTAGTGTGCCCTGGAACCCAGCTATCTGTAGCTGATAGCCTTTTTTACCGAAATAAAGCTTTGATAATGTGCGAACCAGAAGTTGAATCAAAATGAAAGGCAAAGCTGCGTAGACTAAAGAGCTTGAGCATTTCATCATGTGGAATTAAACAAGTTTTAAATCAACATAAATTATCATCTTACTCAAAGGATATTATAATCAGTTTTCTTTACCATGGACTGCAATGCCGGCCATTCAGCCGAGACAGAGTCACAATAACAAGTGAATTCTAGTGCCAAATTCCAACCGAATGAAATGTTAGGACAAGTGACACGTCGCTTACACAGATCTCATACATAACTTTACCGCAGTAGAGCGCTTTAGGATAGGATTTTTGCGGATATGTTTAGCGGTTCATAAGTAATGCAGTAGTCTAACATCCGAGTATTGTGTCTTCTTTCGTCTTCAGGGAGTCTCGGGACGCTACACATATCCAAAATTATTCACATTAAAAAAATTAGTCTTCATTCCAAAGCAACGGATGATAAAATCTTTTTTTATTTCTTTTTCATATGTTAAATGATTTTTGCATTTAATAAAGAAATAATATTTTTTTTGACGTAGAATTTTTTTGTAAACAAGGTTGTATTTTAGGTACAACCGAACGATAAGAAGGCTATGAGTAGTTTTAAAATCTTTTACCAAGTTTTTAAAAAGTTTTTTTTGCACAAAAATTCCTGAACTCGTAAACACTTTAAAAGGTTTTGCTTAATTTCAAAAATTGCACTGTAAAAATTAATTTTTGGGAATTTAATAGTCAGTAGTTACTTTAAATACATCTTAAATTATTTTTTAACATTTCTTTAACTCAAAATACAAAGGGCTTCTAGCATTTTTGTAGGCATTTTATTCGCTTCCATCGGGCGTCTCTGGATGGCCACCACAGTCAACATCGTGGCGTGTGGCTAAAAAGATATTTCCTTTCAACGTGATAAATGCGCTTGAACAATTTCATTGGCTTTGCACTTTCATCTTTTTTGGAAACTGTAATGGGCAGTAGACAAGTGCGCTGCATCGAGGCTATTTCATTTTTACCGCTAGTGGTAGGAGCAGTGGACTGACTCCCCTGTGTTAATCCTTGCCGATTTATTCCTTCTTCACTACTGTTTACCCATGTACTCAACAAACCATCTATCTGCGTCCTATTAAGCTAGTTGAAAGTGGATTTGTTGTCGCGTGTTTGCTCGGCTGACATCTTGATATAAGTAGCATAGACTGCTTTGCGACGAACTCCAGCAGATAAAACACGTCTTGTGTTACTTCAGTAGTGATTTGCAAGCTTGAAGAAAGCAGGATTGCGATGGATGCCGAGAGTGCAAAGTGTTTAAAGTTTATACAGATTCTCCATTTCGCAAAAAATACCGCTAAGTGAAAATGCAAACTGCACAGGCATGCGTCGCCGCGTCACCAAGCCTAAAGTTAAATAAGTATTTGCTCTTTAAAATTATTTTAAACCGCAAAAACTTTTTGTTTGCTACAGTAATTGTCACATTAGGTAAGCTGAAGCATTAAAATGAGTCAACTTCTTGATGCCCTTATAAAAAGTTAGTCTGTCAAAAAGATATTAACTTTACATAAATTGTTTACCATTTATCGGATTAGAATATGGGCATAAGAAGGATATTATTAGAATGATATGCGGGTGTTCGACGAGCCATTTAACACCTAAAACGTAAATCATTTGCCGTAGGTTAGAGATAGATGAGTAAGATAACACAGAAAGAATCATTTGACAAAGAGTAAGCAAAAAATTTGTAGACAATAATCGACATGTGGACCTTCTAATAATGTCACCTGATCCATGGATGGAAATAGGTCTACTAACAGGAAGTTGTTTAACTCACAGTTAAGAACGTTTCGTATTTATAGATATGCAGGCCACCTAATGATGTATCAAGCGATATTAAAGATGTACCTGTATTCACTGATTAGGAACCACGTGAAGGATAATAGGTCTTGGTGGACACATCTTTTCTTAAATAATAGGCCATGCAAATATGAGAAGAGACATTAGCCCTAGTGCGGACACTGATGGTATGCCGAGTACCATCTAGCTCAACTACGGAGATGGATATTAATAAATATATGGACCGTCTGATGATCCAAAAGGTGGGCAAACGAGAAAAACCATATCTTCCCTAAACTACTATTTGTAGCTCAGAGCCCTTGAAATAACTAGAAATGAAATAAGGTGTGCATTATAAACCGTCTTCTGTTGGAATACGGTCAAATCCAGCACCTCCTCTTTCACCTCATCCATAAGACGCTGCTTCTCTAGCTGCCGTAGTTCCGCCACCTTTTTATACCTAAAAAACCTATCAACTAAGACTATTTCACCTTTAATTTCTTGCACCGCGAATAACTCATAACTTGCCTTGTGGAGTCCTTTGGCAAAAGACTGTACCTGTGCTTCTCCACCTCTATTTACAATCACATATAGTATTGTGTTTGTAAAGAAGTTCTTTTCCCAATTTTCGCACTGTTTATTCTTGCAGCAACTTGTCCACGTATTTAAACTACAAAAAGGAGAGGAAGGCAAATATCAGCAACCTCATGGTAACTACCACAGATTATGATATCGCATCAAGATGATCTTACTAAAGCATGCTTGGCCTAAGTTGGAAAGACAAAATTGCATAATTCTTACCCAAGAGGAAGCTAACTTAGGTAAAAATAAACAGACCTTGACAGACGAGAAGAAAAATATTACTATTTTCTGTTTCTAGTGCTTCTGGCTTAGGCTGGATCACAGGGGTAGGGCACGGTAAATTATCTTCTCTAATTTCCCGGCATAGGAAGAATATTTACTTGAGCACTGTTAGTAGCAACAATAAAATAGAATTGAAGCAATGTTACGTGAAAGAATTGGCCAGGCACTCAGAGGAAAAATTCCCCATCCTCTAGTATTAAAAATAGCAAAAAAGATAATATAACTGCTACAAACCGGATCTCAGGCTATCGAAACTACTGTTGCATTGCCTTAAAACCAGGGGGCGAAAATGGCTGCAAACGTTTCTGTAAACTTGAAGAATTTGAAAATTGAGTTAAGCGCAGTTCCGAAAACAAATAATAGGATACTCGAACTGTGTAACATGCTTTATAGAATCCGTCAGATGTAGTGCTGTTCAAAAATCCTCTCTCTTAAAGGCTTTGTTTGTCTACATGTTCATAAAATGCGCATCGTATAAGTCAGGGGTCATTTTCGTAGTGAAAAATGACGGGGAATCTAGATATCCTCTTCTCATTGAAAAAATACGTTGCAGCATTTTGTAGCGGTTCCTTGGATAAAGTCAAGGAGTCTCTGGTTCGTTTAAAATGCGAACTATTTTGGTAGTCTTTATTTCCGAACACTATAAACGTTAAATGCGGTGATTCAACAGCCACATTGAGAAGCACTTTGGTCACGCTCTTCCAACTTGAGCACAGATATCAACATCTTAACTTTGTATCGCCAAAGGAAGTTTTTAATCGACATGAGGTTTGCCTTCATAAATGCGTAAAACCGTATAGGATCTGTATGAATCATTTTTGCGCATGCATTCGGTATGCGGGGACCTGGTCCATTCGCATGATGGACTGCGCAACGACGTTTTACCAATGCAGATTTTGGCTTTACTCCAGCATATACACTATTTTTGCCGATTACGCTGCAAGCTGCTTTCGTTGTATCCTTTGCATGATTCGTAATGAACCGAACTATGCAGCGCTTTGTTTGTAATCCGGTTTTCTTTCCATCTTGACTTTGATGCTTTGCCCTGGCTGAAGCGTGGGGTTGGGTGGGTATAATGTCTACTGGAGTTTCTTTGACCAGACTTTAGTTTTGCTCTAATAACGAAATGTGAGACAATGCTATGTTCAGCAGCGAAAAATGTCGGCTCTGCGCTTGAAGATCTGTACGCCTTGCAAAGCCCCATCAATTGTTTGGAATCCACCATCTCTCCTTTGGTTAATACCGCTAGGCAAGCATTATTCATCGTCATTTCTTTTCTCGATCCAGCTTTATTATTGAAAGGATATCAACGTTTGGTTGCATATTTGTGGAGAAATGTGCAAATCACCTGTCGTTGTTTATTGTAGAATGGAGGTGGAGATCCTGGCAACTGCACTAAAATTACAATGTCAACTGGGAGATTTAGAGTTCATAAATTCGATTCTGACTCTGAGTTCCATTTCGTATAAACTGGATCAATACTATGCACGAGACAATCTGGTATGTTGATTTATTTCTTTTATTTTATTTCAGTTATTTCTTGTAATGACTAGCCTTTCATTTTGTAAATGTGACCTGACCTACAGCAATAATGGCTCATTGAATATCGCCAATTCAAGGGGAATTTGCATACTTTTCATATAAGAGTGCATTTGTGGGTCTGCAGTCCAGCCACTTGTTTTACGATGAAACATTCGCTACAGTGAATTGTTTTGTCAGGAACTGACAAACATTACAGCTGGCTTTGTGCTTGTGAGAAAGAATCAGAAGAATTGCTTTGATGTGGTTTAGCTTCCGATTGAATTTCATGTGATGAAAAGACATTGAAAAGTGACTTAAATGCTGGAAATTTTTACATAACTATACTCCATTTAATCAACTCGGTGCGTATCTTCATGCTAACCGTTGAATAGGATGGTGAAATGGCTTTGGACAGTTGAGTCAACTGCCTTTGCGTGCATCTAGGTGCCTGTGGGCTCGCCACCAACTCCCCTGTGCTCTTGGCTTAGAAGATTTTACTCAGTGCTCTTGGCCAAGTTCACACTCTACTGGTACTCTGTCCTGCGCAGTGGAGCAATCAATCCGGCCGATGTGCAAGAGGCTGTGTCAAAGGAAAATCCCGATATCGTTTCTCAGTGCGCCCTCACCTTCCTGTGGCATGTGATTACGCCTGGATTGAACTGTGCACATTCACTCCCTTTTTTCCTTTAGAATCGAGGATTTTGTCAGCACGAATGAGGGAACCAATGTATCCCTCTTCTTTGATGCCTATCTTCAGGATTTTGCCTATCTAGGCCACAGTTACGTGCCTCCAGGGGCGGCTGAAATGTATGTCAAGAGTTCTGTTGCCATTCCCTGCATCTTCACCATGCCTCCCGTAAGTTTCTTTTGTGATTTTGTCCACGGTAATTTTCATTAGACCGAAGCACTGGACATTTTGGTCATTTGTGTCAGCAACTTTTTTCAGTTTTTTGTTGGCTTGGTTGGGTTATTCAGATTGTAAGGTGGGTTTTTCGAGCCCCTAATCTGAATTTCCACAGTAATTTTTGAACAAAGTCCGTAAACATGTCACATTTATGCACTCATTGGTGGGTTAAGTCAATAACTGGGAGTCTAGCATAAAAAGATTAGTCAGTACGTTTGCACCAACATGGGATAGCGGGACTGGCTAGATACCCTATTGCACTAGCTATTCGAGGCTGTGGAAGTTTGCAACTGATTGTGTCATTTTGTTCATTTCGGCAGAAGTATTCATCCCTTGTTGCATTTCGCGTTAGGGCATGCGTCGGAGAGCAGACGTGTTACGTGCGTCAGTGTCATAGCCAGGACCGTAGCTAATGTGCTGAACCGTGACCATCTTTGAGGCGCCTGCATCATTTTAGCGTTTTAACCTTGATCGTCTTCTTGTTTGGTAGTTGGGATTGTAAGCTTTTGTTTATAAGAACCTTCATTCATCATCACGTCTTGTCGTAAGCGCGTATTTCTATTCTCTCATTTCTATTAGTTGCATATGGGGCGATCCACGTCATGCGTGCCGACTATTCATACTCGTGACGACGATCTTGACACTTACTGGTGTTATAGTGCTTCCACGGCAGCATTCATTTCAAGTAAACCTACAGGAGAGATCCCTAGCTTAAATTAAACATTTTTCATAGGTAACATTGAAATGAGTACGAGACCAACCTTTTTTGCCACCGCTCATCTTTGTAGGCGGAGTCAAACACGCTACCAATGAGTGAATACGCCGTGATAATGCGTGCGGTAAATTCGCTGCTTTCCCTAGATGCCTCAATCATGCCACGGGAGATCATTGCACTGCACGAGGTGCAGCTGCAGAAGACCTTCCTTGTGCTCAAGGTGGAGTTGCGTATCTACATGGCGGTTGCGGTGGTGGACGAGAGCGGTGAGCAGACCGAAAACGCGCACATTCGGGACTTCATTTGCAAGCTGTGTGACTGTATTCAGATGATTGACCTCACTCGATCCCTCCAGGCGTGGGCCTAACTTCACCCAACATCCTTCCCCCTTTTTGTGCTACCAATCTGTCGGTACAGCTTCTTTACCAATCGTACGACATTTTTGTGTCTGCATTGCTTGACGCTAACTATATGTATCAAGGGGATGTAGAGATAGAATTGCCTGCTTTATTTTTTCTGAATGTTAACGTACCCACTCCAAGTGGTTGGAATAGTTGAACATGTGGGGGAAGTAGGCGAGCCAACCGGCTCGCGAATGGCGAATGAGCATCGAGTAGGGAATAGTTGATTGCGATTACCCACCCAGGAGGCCTGGCATCTGTTCTCACTAAGCAACAGCTAATCGCGGCTACCCACTCAGGCATCGTAAGCTAGAAGATTACCCACAATCGGTTTGAGGTGATATCGGAGCGGAGCAATACTTGCTACACACGATAATCAAATTGGCTCAACAGCGCCATCGGGCCACGATTCGCAAGAACCCAGTTAGACAAGAATTAAATTAATTTAGGCAATCAGTGAATACTCTTGATCAACACACATCACCAGAAACAAGCCCGAATCACCCCCACCGAAAGCATGTGAAGGTTTCTAGATTTGGAGTGGATTTACACCGCGTTCAAATAAACACGATCACAACAAAAACCACCATATGAGAAGATTTGTCTACGCTGTCGGCGCTGTAACTTCACCCCCATCCTTCTGGTTGCTCTCACCAGGGGGATCAGTTTGATCCATCTAGAACGAGAAATAGTTAAAACATTAGCTTACGTTTTGCAGACGTTTGAATGCACTCTGGAACATCATCTTTTCCCGTTGAAGAGCCTTCGAAATCACATC